GAATTTTGGACTAGGCTGGATGGGTGAAGGACTCATGGGGAGGGAGCATGAGAGATCAGGTTGGCTTTCTATTCAGCCCCCTGCCCCCAGGACTCTGTACAAATATTTCACAAATAGTTGTTCATTGATTTATTTGATGCTTTTGCTCCCTCAAACAATCCATGTTGTGCTCTTAGTATTTCCCTCACCCCCTCCCAACGCTACCCTGCGCAGATGAGTGGTGATGCGGTGGTCACAAGTAGCCCTAAATTTACAGTTTGAGAAGTGCACCTGCTACTGATTACCTTAAGTTACTTAATAATGTTTCTGTGCGTGTTTCTGGTTTTTGGTAACCTGGGATCAGGAAAATAAGAGTAAGAAAAAATAATGTCCCTCCCAGTTATTATAAAGGTGAAATAACAGTTTTAAAAAGACATTTACATTCTGACATACACACTTGTAGTTATTTTTTGTTCAATCTAATAAAAACACTGTTTAGTTTTAAGGCACCCTTCAAGTTTCATAGTACTTAGGATCTCTCTTTTCCTGGGTAATCTCTTATAGGTGGATTTGGGTTTGTCTTTAATAAGGAAAAGATGGGTCCGTTGTCTAGAAGTGTAAGCCTGCCTATGAGGACTGGGGTCCCTGCTCTCAGGGTGTTTTCGGGCGGTGGGTTGGATCTCTAAGGCTCCACTGCAAAGAGCGAACTCTGGGAGAGGGAAAGGGGATTTTTCCCTTGGTTGGACCTCGGGGTTGGTTCCTCCAGGTATATCAGATTCCTCTGCAGCACTGGGGGTCCAGCCATCTGCATTCTCGGAGTCCTCTGCGCCCGAAATCCCATCTGGCAGAACGTAAAAGTGCAGCGGAAAGAAAACTCACCCGCACGGCTCTCAAGGTCGCCTCGCGGGTTCCTAGTGGACGTGGTGGACGCAAAGCCGCCACCGCATTTGTTTGTTTCAGGCGGGACTTTCCTCCTCTCCATCCTATTTCCGCTTTGCAAGACAAGCAGGCTCTAGACTGCCCTGTGGGAGGCGGCGGGACACCGGAGGACCCTCATCTTCCACGTGAGCCACAGCATCTCAGGAGCCCGGGAAGCTGGCGACCGTCTCCCGGCAACTACAACAGGATACCAGGGGCCGCCGCGGGGCACCCCTACTCTACCCTATAGTCTCGCAGCCTGGCTCTGAAAATGGAACCTGCAGTATGAAATGCTAACGTGGTCAACGCTTTTTCCCATTTAATTTTTTTTCTGTGCTTCCCCCTCCCTCCTCCTCCAGAATACCCTGCACTTACCAGCTACATGATCTGGAACAAGTTACTTTATGTTTCTGCACCTCTGGTTTGTGATTTCTACGATTGGGATCGTTATAATAGCTAACAGTGTTGTTGGGAGGATTAAACGAATTAATACAAGCCAAGCTCTTAGAACAGCGTGCGGCATTTGGGAAGTGCTCTATTAAAGTCCGCCCTGAAACTGACAGGGCAGAGTCCTCCGAACTCAGTCCCGTGTGCGCCGCGCGGCCCTACGGCTTTCCCCAAGGTGGTTTCCACTGCGGCTCACAGAGATTGGAGAAAATTGGGCCCCTGAGCCTGTCCCAGCCCCTACGTAATTCCTGTGCTTTTAGGATTTGGTTAAGAATTGAGTAAGGCACGGAGCTGGGAGAAAGTACGAAAAGGTGGGGCAGGACCCCGGCCGACGGCTTAAGTCGGGAATGCCACGGAGCAAAGCAGGTGCGTGCAGGCTCAAGCACTTGGCGGCCGCTGCCCCCCGGGTCCTGTGTGCTGTGGCCTCCGTAGTACTTCCAGAAGGGGCCTGGTGGCTGGCGTCAGACTCAGCGCTGCTTCTCCAGGCCCCGGTCTGCCCATCCCCTCAGCTCCCTGCCCTGAATTGCTGGGGGTGCAGAGTGCTATCTGAATCTGGGCGCAGTGGAGACACGGTGTGCGAGAGCGCCCTCCGGGAGGGGTGTCACCAAGGGCAGCGTCTAGAAGCTGGATGTGGAAAGCCGGGAGGGAATTTCTGTTGTAGCGTCTTCTCTTGTATGTCTGACCTGTGGCCAGGTTTTTCCTCGGGTGGGACTCGTCTCCAAATTTTGTGTGGAAAAGGCAGGCGATAAACGGTCGCGTTTCAGGGGTCGTCCTTGCCTCGAGGCCAGCGCAGGCCTCTCCAGGACTCGTGAGGTGGCGCAGGGCCAGGAAGGGCAGGCTGACCTCACCGTGGGCCAAACCGGCCCCGCAGTGGCAGTGCGGCGGCCGCGGGATGCGAGGCGCTAAACCTTAGGCAGCGCAGGCGCCGCTGGGCACCGCGGGCTTGGACGGCCTTCAGAAGGGGGTCCAGATGCGGCTGCTCCGCTGAGCTAGGAGGGCGGGGAGGGAGAGGGGAAGTGACCTCTTGAACCTCATCAAATGCAAATGTTATAAGAAGTTTGTTAAGAAAAGAAAAGCGGAAGGACACGGAAATGGAGAAACGTGGAGTCCACCTGAGGCTTGAATGGCCTTTTTAGAGTTCCAGGCCCCTGGGGTTTGCAGACTTCGCTGCGGTAGACCGACTATTCGTAACGGACTTTGCATTTTCCCACAGGAGGGTGAAGCTACCGGCTGACTTCCTCCAATATGCATATTTTACATACATAAACACCTTTGCAGTTTTATAGTCATTTAAATAAACCATTCATATAAACTGTTACTCTTAAAATGATCCGCACAAAATAGCTTTTATCTCAGATCATTTTCACTCTTCTTTTAATTACCTGCTTTTGTTGCTTGGGTTTCACCTCCAGGCTGGTGGCCAAAGTGTTTTTACATTCAACTTTGCCGTCTGTTCTATTGTACCTTACTACCCCAATAACTTTCCTTATCAACATGGACACAGAACAGCGTCAACATTTAATTTTCCCAATAGGATGGGTAATATAATTTTGGGAGAAGCAAATGTCTCTCCTTCGTTTGGTCTTTGTTGGTTCTTAGCGAGGGAGAATGCCGGTGGGGACTTCAGCCGCAGCGTCCTAACGAGTGCTGCAGCTGTGACTAATTTTTGGCTTTAAAAAAGACTGATCGGTGGGTGCGGTGGCTCACGCCTGTAATCCCAGCACTTTGTGAGGCCGAGGTGGCAGATCACGGGGTCAGGAGTTGGAGACCAGCCTGGCCAACATAGTCAAACCCGGTCTCTACTAAAAATATAAAAATTAGCTGGGTGTGGTGGTGCACGTCTGTAGTCCCAGGTATTCAGGAGGCTGAGGCAGGAGAATTGCTTGAACCCAGGATGCGGAGGTTGCAGTGAGCCTAGACTGTGCCACTGTACTCCAGCCTGAGCAACAGAGCCAGACTTGTCTAAAAAAAAAAACAAAAAACCGACCTACTTGATGAGCCATCTATTTACTTTTCAAGTCCCTGGACCTATTATAAAATAGGTCAAGCATCTGAGAAGCTGTGAGCGGTTTCCATAAGTCAACTTTCATTCAGGAAAAGGGGAAGGGGCTCCTACATTTTTTTTTTTCTCTCTTGAAAGGGCAGGCTGTTTTGGGATCTGAATATATAAACGCAACCTCCAGAAACCCATGTTTTAGAACAAAATGGGTGTGGAAAGCTAAGCAGACAAGTTGGGAAGACAGGATTGGGGGATGGAGGGTGAGGAAGGCAGGGGATTGTGTAGATTCTGTGGGCAGTGGTGTCCCTCTGAGTGAGGGGACAGAATGCACTCGGGGCTCTGTGCTGGTGTCAGAGAAGGGGGCAAGAGAAAGAGGCAGGGAGTGGCAAATTCTCTTTAGGAGAATTTTCCATCTGGAAAGGAGGTTTCTGCATTCATCACCCATCTCTGGTAAGATGCTTGGTGTAAGTGGAAGGGCGAATGTTGGTCTTGGGCTGAGGGAATCTGCCTTACTGAGCTCAGCTATAAAGAAATTTAATAAACTTCTTTTGTTTTGTGGTTTCTACCTATGGAAAACTTTTCTGCAGTTGGAGGGCTCTCAGAAGAGATCTGAGGCATGGAAATCTTTCCATTTGTAAATCAGTTACAAAAAAATATGTGGTTGAGTTAAGCACTTTATGGCCATAGGGATTTAATAAAAAGGGAAAGAATATAGGTGTATCGAGCAGGGAAGCATGGCTGGAGAATAAATTTATTCTTTTTGTTTGATTCATTTTGTTTCTGTTTTCTAACACCAAAATGTGTAAATTTATAGCAATGGAAAAATAATAACAATTCTGAGTGTCTCAAATTCATTATGATGTATTCATGATCTCTTTCTAACTAGGATATTATTTTGAGGGCAAAATTTGATTGAGGTCTAGACTTTGGATGTTTCTACAAAGTGGGGATTGGAGCTGGCACTTGAAAACATTTCTTCTGGCCTTTACTATTTGCACTTTTTCTTCAAGTTTTCATTCACTTTTCTAATGTTTAAAACTTCTAGTACAATGATATAGTGTAATTTACTTTCATACCTTGAGCTAAAGGTGGAATTTCAATTGATGGAAATAGAGAAAATCAGGTTACTCAAATAATACCAAGGAGTTTATTTGCATAATTCAAAGTTACCTTCAAGACTGCCATCTAAATGAGTTTTTTCTTTTTTTTAAAGTAAGATTAATATATTCACCTTTCTTTATATTAACACCTTCAAAAATAAATGATTTTTAATATTTTGCGAAGGAAGTGACCCATGAAGGGATGAATGCTTTGGTCCATGAGAGTCATAATGAAGCCATGATTTATCTTTTGTTTTTCTGTACATAAATATAAACATATTACAAAACTGGAATTCTTTCTCTATCTTTCCTTAATCTATTTTGCTTACATAACGAAATATCAAAAATATTAACTAGTTTTTAAAGTTTTAAATATTACTTTGAGAATTTATTTTAAAAGATTCTAAATTTATTTTTCTTTTTATGTGATAACCTGCACAACATTTACTTGGGATTTACTGTCTTTTCTAGAAAACATCAAACACCTTGGCAAATCTTCTATTATTCTTTTAAAGAGTAAGTCAGTCTAATAAAATCTTCATATTAATCTTTTACAGAGGAAGAGGTAGAAGTCATCCTTGCTCTTTGAAACTAAGAAAACTGGAGTCATTGGAAGATTGAAAGGCAACTCTAAGGCCAGTGCAGTTTCACACTGTCATTAATCCTGGGGAATCTGGAAAGAGAGCAGCATGATGGAAGATAGGATGCAAATGTGAATATCTTTCTACACCTAGAGAATTTTGTAGATGTATGGTTCTTTGGTTTGCCTGACATTTCTTCCTTCTACTGGTGAGAATATCTTATATCCTTACAGAGAACTCTGTTTCTCCCACTCAGTGTTGTCCTAGTGTAGCCACACCGCGATGGCACCCTAGACAAAGGGAGTCATGGCCTGTCTATTCTGCCTGTCCTCTGGCCACGGTATTTGGCCAAGTCTAGGCGCAGGGTCACCCTCTGTCACATAGAGTTCTTCTCTGGGATTGTTAGTAAAGAAAGTGAGAGAGAGGCTCACTCTTTTCCCTCTGGGATTATGAGAATTAAGGACATATGCTTTGTATGGCCACCGACCTCATCACTTCTCTGGTTTCTAGGGGAAGCTCATTTACAATAGAAGAGACTGGGGCCAGTGCATAGGAGGGAGCAGAGGACACAGACACGGAGAGCTCTCAACACTTTTGGAGGCTGGGGGCTGCCCCAGTCCCAGGAGTTCTCATTTTACCATCCAGTTCCTTAGTTCCACAAATATTTTTTGAGCGCCTACTCGGCTAGGCACTGGTCTAAGTGCTGGGGAAACATGCGGAGAAAACAATCGAGGTTTCCACTTTCAAACCTTAAATTTGGGGGATTGGACAGATGAAAAGCAAGTATGCAAAAGCTTTCAGATAGAGAGAAGTGACATGAGGATGGACAGTACATAAGAAAGTCAGTCCATGGTGATGGTAAATGAAGGTGATGTGATAGACACATGGGCATTTGGGGGTGATCAGGAGTCTTCTCTGGGAAGACACTGGTCTAAGACTTGAGAATGGAGAGGAGCTAGCTATGGGAAGGTTGAGGGCAGATGGAGCAGGAGATGCAAAGGCCCTAAGAAATGCCCCTGGGACATTCAAAGGACATCAGAGTACCAGGGAACCTGCCTTCTCCACTCTGGATGCTGGTTGTTAAGAAAGAGAGAGTGTTGATACACAATGACCAAGTCTCACTCTTGGCCTTTTCTTTTCCTAGGCAGTCACCCCTGAAATACTCACCATTCTGTTACAGCCACAGTAGCTTGCCATGCTTTCCACAGCACCTGACTCTATCTATTTCTCCATGAGCCACTCAAGTATAAGTGGCACCCATTTGTAGATATGTTGACTTTCTCCATTTCAGACACAGTCACATTATTGCTAAACTCTGTAGCCCCTGAAATCCAGCCGTAGCATTAGTATAGGTATGTGACAGATTGGAGGAAATTCTTATAAAGTTTGGCAGTGTCCAAACGGTGCTAGATAATGCATCCAGCTCTAGAATTCAGCATCCAGCAGGAGGACCTGGAACCTAGGGTGATATAGAAGGGAATTGTGACTAATTAAAGGGACAAAGGAGGGTACTTATGATGAAAGCTTACAGGGTGAGAAGCATTGGGTTTTGATAAGGCTGAAGAGGGATTTTAGTTGTAGTCTTAGTAGGCAAAAGATTTATACCTCTCAAATCTGAAGTGTCTTGTTGAAATTTTAACCCATAGTGAAAGAGAAGAAAGAGTTTTGGGTGGGATGCTTTAGGCTGCAAGCAACAGAAATCCTTGTCTACGGAGGCGGGAACAGTGAGTCATTATCTCACGTGTCAGGAAGTCTTTTTTTTTTTTTTTGAGACCGAGTATCGCTCTTGTTACCTAGGCTGGAGTGCAATGGCGCGATCTCGGCTCACTGCAACCTCTGCCTCCTGGGTTCAGGCAATTCTCCTGCCTCAGCCTCCTGAGTAGCTGGGATTACAGGCACGTGCCACCATGCCCAGCTAGTTTTCTGTATTTTTTAGTAGAGACGGGGTTTCACCATGTTGACCAGGATGGTCTCGATCTCTTGACCTCATGATCCACCCGCCTCGGCCTCCCAAAGTGCTGGGATTACAGGCTTGAGCCACTGCGCCCGGCTTGCAGGAAGTCTTAAGAGTTGGGCAGGTTTTGGAATGGGTTGTGTTATCAGCTCAATGGTATCACCAAGGGTTCAAATTCTTTCTAACTTTCTACTTTGCTGGCTGCAGAATCCATTTCATCCTAGTCATAAGGTAGTGTCAGGGACAGCATATGCTTTTGTCATTTATATCCAGGTTATAAAAAGGAAAAAATTATATCCTTAAACAGTGACATGAAGGTTCTCCTCTCTTTATTTTTGGGGACCAGTTTAGATCCATGCTTCTCCCTGGACCAGTGACAGTCTTCAGGGAAAAGACACTTATAGATTATCTATGCCAATCATGGGCAAGTGCGGTGGAGCTGATTTGGGCTACTCAGGACTTACCTGTGAAGGTAGGAATGGGTTAACCTCCCCGAAATCACAGGGTCTTACACATCTTATGGGATTAAGAAATGAAATCTGGGTCTCTAAGAAGGAAGGAGCATGCATGTATCATGCATGTCAAATACACAGTGGTAGGTTGATACATTAGTGTGAGGCATTTGGAGTGGAGATAAGGAAGAGTACTCTAATATAGACGACCTTGAATGTCAGAAAAACTTAGCATAAGAGGATGTAAAGTCTCTTTCTTTAAGATGTTAGGTTTCTATTTGTCTGAAGAAATTATTTGTCTGAAGTCTGATCCTGTCTGAACTTGAGGGCCCGGTGGGGTAGGAGTAAAGGAGATTGCCTCCTAAAATTGCCATTAGAGTTCCCTGAGGTGCTGGTTACACACAGATTCTAGAGCCTTACCTCAGAGATTGAGATGCAGTACTTTCGGGTGAGGTCTAGGGCATTCTATTTTTAAACAGTGATTCATATGAGTCTGATGTAGCCTGTCAGCTGAACTCAATTTGGAAACCAGTGGTAATGAATACAGAATAGGCATATTTTTTTTGAGTACCTAAGAAACACTCACAAAAATTGACCATGTATTAGGCTACAAAGGAAATCTCAATAAATTCCATCATAGGAACTACATTTACTCATCACAGTGCAATAAATTTAGGTGCTTACTACAAGGACATAAAAATAACAGTTTACAAACACATTTGGGAGCACTCCTCCTCTGCAAAAGCCCTTAAATTATGAAATAACAATTGAGTTAAAAAGCCTATATCACAAGAGAAATTATGCAATACTGAGAGCTGCTGACACAGAAGATACACCACGTCCAAGTGCAGCTAAAGCCTTGCTTCAAGGGACATTTATAGCTTTGAAACCAGGGATCAGAAATTAAGAAAAACTGAGAACAAAGAAGCTAATATTTAAATCCAGAAGGTAGACAGAGACAGTAGAACAAACTCAAAGTATAATGTGTTAGTCTCAGTTCCTGCTTAAAAGCAACAGAGCCCATACTGGCTAGATTCAGCAGAAAATGCACTTATTAAAGGAAATTCGAAGATGCTCTGATTCCTTGGGAACACCGTAGAGTCATTTTTGAAGTTTGCATCACCAAGAATAATACCCACAAAACAGCTGTGGAAAGATCCCTCTCTAGTCATTGCCCCCACCAAGCACCGTGAACACTGGCTGTCAATGCCAGGGTTCCCTGAGGTCATCCTGGACAGCATGGAGATTCCACATGCCAGGCATGATGCCTGGCTCCTCATGCTGATTTCTTCAAGCAGAAGTCTCACATGGGTGGGTCTGATTGGCCGAGTCTAGGTTGCCTGTGTGAATTCTAATTGCAGGAAGCTGGAAAGGTGAGTTTCTGGATTCCAGTTTGGGAGACAGAACTCTTTATGTAGAAACTTCTCAAGATAGTGGGGAGGTGGTAGGGGTGCATAGTAAATGTCTTCTACACTCAAAAAGGAAGGATGTAATAAAGATAAGGACAGAAATCAATGACATGGATAACCTCCCTCTGTATTATTGAGAATAATTTTTACAGAACCAGAAGATTTTTTTTGGAAAAGGATCCTAAGATAGATACATCTCCATGAGACTTACAAAAACATAATATTACAGACATGCTCACACACAGGAAATTGGTAGAGGATTTTTAATTTATAACTAATAATTCTTTACTCAAGATTCAAAGTGCTGGGATAGAGACAGTGACTGGGCAAATCTGCCTTAGATGCCTGCCCCTGGCTGTTCTGGGGAGAAGAAAGGCTCTGCCCCCCTGGTTTCTGGGTGGGCCAGCACTGCCTTCCAACAGGACTGCACACAATAGGAAATAACCCTGACAGGACCATCAACAAGTGGCAGGATCCAGCACCTGTAGTGTGACTTATTTCATTGATTTATGTTCTTTCCAATATCTCATTACTATAAAAAAGCTTCAATAAACATCTTCATCATCTTTTTGTTTCTTAGACATGAAATTACTGGATCAACAGATGTGAGTAATTTTAAGGCTTTTGGTTAAACTGTGAAATTACTTTCTCTGACAGTTGTAACAATTTCCAGCCTTGCTAGCCCTGAGAAGAGAGGACCTATCTCCCTGCATCCTTTCCAGCTTTGATTATTTCATAACAGAGATAGTATCTCATTGTTGTTTCACTTTAAATTTTTAAAAATGCCCAAGGATAAAAAATTGTCTCTGTATAATCTAAGCTAATATTCACAATATTTTGTAAGGTAGATGTCATAATCTCCATTTCACAGATGAAAAAAATGGAAGGTTAAGAAAGATGAAACTAACTTCTTTCAGTCCCTTAGTCAGGAGAGGATGTACATTTAAACCCCGGTTTCTGTGACTCTAAAACCCTGTTCATAACGACAGCCTTTGTTCATAGAAGATAGGTATATTTGACTAAATACATAAATGAAAATATCTGAAGATCAAAAACAGATGTAGTTGGAGTTTCCCAAAGAGTGTTCCAAGGAACCTGATACTTTTAATATTCTCTGGGAAAAAGATCAATTCAATGTTAAAAATGTTGGGAAACACTGGATAGTATTTCCCCTCTTAGAGAGTCATAGCAAATGTTGGGATATTTAAGGGCTTGAGAAGTCTTACAGCAAAGAAACTGTCTGACTGTTTAACATTCCAGAAAAGTAGTGTTCCAGAGAACATGTTTTGGGAGGTGCTGCCAAGCATTGTGCCTCTTATTTTTGTTTCATGTTTTATTGCATTGGCCTAGACAGCGACACATGATATTGGTGACAGTGGGTATTTTATTGTCTCCTGATTTGATAAGAATGTTCCTAGTATTTCATCATTAAGTATTATGTTGGCTGCAAGTTTAAGATAGACACAGATATTATTTATTATCTCAAATAAGACTTTATTTCTTATTTTCTTGCTTAAAGAAGCAGAAATGGATGGCGAATATGAAGGAATCAGCTTCTCAAACAAATGGGAAAAATTCAGTGGTAGGCTATTCATTCAGTAAATAGACAGGATTTTTGATGGACTAGGGATAATTCCCAATGCTCCTTCAAAAACATTGCTGATGGCTGGGGAAAAGCACTTGTATTTTCTCCCAGAAAGGTAGTATTTTTTTATTAAAGATGGGGTCTTATTCTGTCCCCCACTTTAGAGTATAGTCACAGTCAGAGCTCACTGTATCCTCAAACTCCTGGGCTCAAGTGATCCTCCTGCCTCAGCCTCCTGGGTTGCCAGGAGTACGGGTGTGTACAACCATGCCTGTCTTAGAAGGGTGGTATTTGGATTTATTTATCAATCATATGGTTTTTCTGTGTCCCCACCCAAATCTCATCTTGAATTTCCACATGTTGTGGAAGGGACCTGGTAGGAGGTAATTGAATCATTGGGGTCAGTCTTTTCTGTGCTGTTTTGATAGTGAATAAGTCTCATGAGATCTGGTAGCTTTATGAGGGGGGGTTTTCCTGCTCAAGCACTCTCTCTTTGCCTCTTGCCATCCATATAAGATGTGATTTGCTCCTCCTTGCCTTCTGCCATGATTGTGAGGCTTCTCCTACCATGTGGAACTGTAAGTCTGTTAAACCTCTTTCTTTTGTAAATTTCCCAGGCTTGGGTACATCTTTATCAGCAGTGTGTAAGTAGACTAATACAGTCACCATTACTTTAGGCTGGGGAATAGGGGTGGCATTTCTTTTTTCATCATTCATTTAGCAAATATGTTTTGAGTGCTTTCTAGGTGTCAGGCCCAGTTTTGGGTTCTGTGTCTCTAACACAGTTCATGGTGGTACCTAATAGACATTGTCAGTTGAAACCAAGTAAAGAGTTGGCCGTGATGAGGGGCTGTTTTCCTGTCCTCATACCAAGAGGTCTAATACTGTGGGGATGTTCTGTTTCTGCTCCCTTCCTTTCTTACCCTTCTCTCTCCTCCTCCCGCTTCTCACCTTAGCCATGTTGAGTGTCGGCTGGGCACAGCCATAGGGCTGTGGACAAGCATCTTTCCCTTAGAGATGTATCCTTTAATCTGGCCCAACCCTGGCTTAGATGTGGCATAAGTATTCAAAACAGAACCAGCCAAGGAGTTTTTTACTACTCTGGACATAGGACGTTACTTTTGGCCAGAAAAGTCCTTGGAGATGGACTTGGTGGTCCTTGGGAGGAACTGCCCAATGAATGATTGCATTGAAGCTTTGGAAACCATTTTTTTTCACCAACAATTTCCTTGTCTACAAGTTTATGAGGCAGTAAATAGCCCCTGTGTGCATAATGAATTCTGACATCATAGTCCATGGCACTTAAAAACAGCGGGCTGGCCTGCACTTTTATTAGTAGCATAGCCTGAGGCGGAAAACTAGTGCAGCCTGTCCCAGCATTCTGTTATAGACTTCACTATAAAACCTCCCCTGGCATTCCCTATCTTCAGCAAGGATGCTTTTTCAGGGTCCAACTAATTTCCTCCCTGTTTTCTTTGAGGATTGTGAGAATGAGATGCAGTCAGATTACACAAAGCCTAGGCCATCTTCAGTTTTTTGTCTGTGCGTGCAAACTTGGTTTTCAGGAGACCTGGGTAGTCCTCATCTACAGAGCGTGACGGAATATGATTGAGTTTCTTGTCTCTGTGGCAACACCTGGTGAATCCACCTTCTTTCTTGCATTCATCCCAACCTGGAACCTCTGAAGTTGTGGCAATTTTATTTGAATGAGTAAAGCAAATATATTGAAAAATAGGTGAGGGAGGAGGAGCTGGAAATTGGGGATGAAGTATTCTTAATGTGTCTCCTTTGGTCAGGTTGAAAAGGTTTCAAAGAAACTAAGACAGAAAAGGAATAATTTTTCTGTGAGTGGAGAATCTTCATTTTAGAAGCAATAGTAATGAAAGCACAGAGACAGCTGATACGTTCTGATTTTTATCATGGAGCTTGGTTTTCCTGTCCCTGAGGGTCTCTGGCACATGGATGGCGAGAGTTGATGACGGGTTACAGTTTATGACAGTGAGTTTTATTGGTATCTATGAGGCAT